CATGGCACAAGGAGCAGCCGACGCTGTGAAGAACACTCTTGGGATGAGTCCCACCACCAACAACCCTAGCAGCCCGGCAGGCAGGACCCACCCGAGCAATCCTAGTAGCCCAGCTGGCATGACCCGTCCGAGCAACCCTAGCTCAAGGAATATTTGAAAGGCTCATCTATGGAACGTATGTCTGATCTTCTCAATAAAATAAAAAAACTAATGATGTGGTTTAACTTTTTTTAATGCTTTTTTTTTTGGATTTTTGGTATTTTTTTTATTGTACATCGAGACATTTTTACGTGTCTCACACATCATACAGTCATGACTTTTTTTTTTATGAATTAAACGTATAATAATATCATCCATTTTATATAACTTGAATCAATAAAACTAATGCACTATTGACTAACGTACGGTTTTAATGCTATACTAATCAAGAATATTACAGTTTGTTTGCTCACCATTATAAGGTTATATATCTTAAAAACGTCTGATTATTTTGATAGATATAAACATTTCCGAACTTTTAAATGAAAGAAACGTACTAAAATATTCTATTTTATTAATGAAAAGTATATTTGATGATAAAATTTTCATTTCTTTGAGAAGTCATTAAGAAATATCTATATGCAAAAGTATAAAATATTCACTAAAATAAAATCAGTGAATTGTATCACAAAAGTAAGTGATATTATTTTTGAATTATTTATTTAGCAACAACATACGAATATATATAAATTTAAATCAATGAAGATGTTTTTAATTAATGTAACATCAATGCAATAAAATGATATAATTTATATGAGTTTGCCATATTTTAACAAAATTTATATTGTTATATAGATTAATATCAGCTCAACAATTGATTCATTTATTATTTTAGGTATATTTTTCCTTTACAACACTTTAATAGAATGGATGTTTTAATCCTAACTAGAATTTAATCCGCGCACCTGCGCGGATGGTTATGTTTATGTTTTATAAATAAATATTTATTTTTTAGGTATAGTAATATATAATTTAAAAATATATATGTATTAGTATTTTTTAATATGACATCTTTAAACACAAAAAAATATATTCTGTATCAAGTATTCTTTTTTTTGACCCGTGATTCCTTATTGATTATTCGTATGAAGAGATTAAGAAAGATATTCTCATTTAGATTATATATATATATTTTATAGAAAGACTACAAAAATAATTGAGGTACAAAATAACTAAATTAATATATACGTATGAATACATTAATTTTTGTAATTGGTTTGAATTTTATAAAAAAAAAATTGTTGTAGTTTATATCAAAAGAAATCTCTAGGTTACAATTATGTGCATCAGTGATAGACTAAATATTTGAAGGTAGGGAATACGTAATATCCATATGATAGCAGTGACAAATTGATTTTCTTAAGTAATTGTTGCCATGATTTTTTAGTTAAAATTAGATTTACGAAAATGCATTGATTAAATAAAAAAAGAACAAAGAATCCTAAAAGATAGGTTACTAATTATTTTATTTTCATTAATTAAACTACAAAAGGAAAAATATACTTAAATATAGATTCAATTAATATATCAGTGGCATTCTCGTGTAAATAAATTACAAAGCTAAGGTACATTTACTTCTCTTTTAATAGTAGAGATTTATATCATATAATAATTAAGCTAGTAATTAACATATATATATATATATAGATTATTCTTATTTTAATAAAGTAAAAAACTTCAAGAGCATCATCAGTGTAAAATTCTATTTTTCTTCTTAGATGGAATACTTCATAATGAAGTTGAGTTTTACTCTAATTGTATTCCATTTGAAGTTAAGAAAAAATAGATTACTGAACCAAAATGTCCGCTGGAGAACACGTTCCTCATCTCTAGCAACAACCTCATTGTCTGTTCGGGGATATTAGATCTGCCGTAATCTCTCATGATGGAGATAAAAGGGGTTTTTGCCAAAACTAACCCACAACTTGGTTTTAATCCCAATACTAGACCCCAACTTGAATCAAATGCAAATCTAACCTAAAAGGGCTATGAAATTACAATATAGTCCTCTGTGACCAAACAAAAAAACAGAAGACATTTTTACGAATATAACCCCAGTAAGTTGTCTGAGTCGGGCTGAGTTACTTTTCAGTCG